GTTGTATTCTAAAAAAACGTCTGTAAAATAATTCGAACAATTACGTAACAACGCAATCGGTTTTCTTATATTATTAAGTAATTTGGATATATTCCAGATGTACTTGAAAATTTTTAGAATTTTTCTAAATATTGTATCATATTAAACAAATGTAAAAAATTTTGGTATTAATATCTATAAGATGATATCCATAAACTTGTTATAATTCCAAATATATTTTACTCATAATTTTTCGACGGAATAAAACTGGTATATAAGTATATGTAAATGTCAATTAATATTTATATTCTTACGAGTTTTTTAAACTGCCATATTTTCGATTTCTTGACCCTTGGTGTAGTAATAAATTTCCAAATATTTGTAAACATCGTGACGGACTTTGAGTTTCTAACTTACAAAGATAATGAGTAATTAAATTCGCAGGACGACGTTCATTTGACAAACCAATGTCGGTCTTCTCTCATTACACGTTTACGAACATAAATGTACTCTTTGGCTCACATAAAGCTGGTTTAAAAAGCAAACATTGCAATTAACGGTTGAAGCAGCAACTTATGTTGCTGCAAGAAATTTCGGTGAATTATATTTTAACAATGCTGACTGATATTAAGAAATAATAGCGTCTTAGCAATTAGGAATTAAAATGCTTTAAGTAACAAAAAATTAAGGATAAATAATAAGGATAAACCTCAATATATCAGTTTAAACTAAAAATAATTTTAGTTTAAGTAATTTTCCACATGATGTCCAAGTCGTATTTTACGTCGTACGTCACATTCTGGAACAATACGTTGTGAAACAATGAGTGTTGCACGCGTTTTGCATATCAACTTACTTTGCACATACCAAAAATACCTTCTACTTAGAACTATGCATATTTAAGTAATGTTCATTTAAATGTAACGATGTATTTAGTATCGTAATATTCATTGTATTTCCAACCAGATTTCTATCTAAAGTTATAGCATTAATTGAATTAATTGTAATTATTTATTAAAATTGGAACACAACGTTTTTGTATCAAGAATTGTTTAGTTGTTAATAAGAAATGTAATTGAAAAGTATCTTACAAACTGGCTTTAAATTGTAATGAAAAAGAATCACGCACAATAGAATATAAATTAAAATTTATTGTAAGTAAAAACTACGTCACTTAGTCTATAGACCTGTAACTAGATCAAGATCTTATTTAAAGAGGTTGTCGTGCTCGTGTCGTGTCGTATCGTGTCGTGTAAATGACCTTTGCCTAATTGTAACCTAATGCAATTCAGCTAATTAATATTATGTCCGTGAATATGGTTACAGATGACGTATTGCATTCATAACAGCTTTGTAATCGAAGATACAATTGCATAATCATGATTAAAACGTCTTTATATATTTATTTTATATAGGAATTTATTATCCTATTATAAAGGTGTTTACATTTATTGTTAAACAAAATGTAAACATGTTAAAGAATCAATTGTTTAGTAAACAATATTGTTTTGTCCTAAAAAATTATATCTCTTCCTTAAAAGTATATTATATGTGATTAAGAATGATTTTTCTTTTTTGTATTTAAATTAATGAACTTTAATACATATATTTATGTATACTAGAAAGTTAAGTTAAAATTTTTGATTAATATTTTTATACCATTCACAGGATACAAAAGTAAAGTAAATAAATCATTTATTAAAAAATATGTGTAGATATATATATCATATCAAAAATTCATTCAATTAAGATAAGGCTACGGCCACACTGGCTTATTTATCGGATTTTATAGTGAGTTAAACTCCTTTGTTCTTACATATTATTTTTTAATATACAATATGAATATAACAAAGAGATTTTGGGTTAAACTGTTGTTAATTAAATAGTATTACACAATTGGGTCAATATCGCGATGTTGCGATCTCAACGTGACTCACATAGCTCCCAAAAGTCTACTTAGGCATTCGCGGTGGCCAAGGACGGGTGCGTCTGGACTACTAACGACCATAAAATAAGTTAGGTGTATAGATATTATGAATGTTTGGTATGAATTCGAACTCCACAAATATTATTGAAGAATATAACAGGGAATAGAGGAACCATGAATGAAATGTTTTAGTCAGTACTTAGCTTAGAAAAATGTCACTTACATAGTTAAGCGTTACATTTGAAATGACTACTCATTGTCATTTCATTTTTGTTAGAAGTGCGATGTGGAACTATATATTATTTAGTGTCTGAATTGGAATAATGTCTTAATAGTTTCTTTATGAGAGTAAAATATCTTACATAAAACTCAAGTTTCGTAATAAAACAAAATTTAAAATAGACCATATGTAAAATGTTGACCTTCAACTTGTAAACTTGTAAGATTACGTAATAAAAATACGCCATTTTATATAATAATATTGTCTGCGAACATCAAAATATTTTATTAAAACTGATGTATGCATCATGAATTATTTCATGAGTTACATTTGAGATGTCAAAATCTATGAGAATTATACTAGGGACGGAAACAAGTTTAAAAAATCTTTGTTTATCCGTAGTGTTCGTCTATAGTTGTTGTATATGAATACCTCACACGAATACAAATGTGTATTAAGTAGCAATAAAGCCTTATAGAAGGGAGAACGTGATAAATTCTTTTCCGCAAAACCGTATCGTAACATTCGATACTAAACTTGGATTATTGCTGGAGACAGTGATTTAAAAAATCTCTTTTTTTATTATTGAATTAGTTATGCTTTTATTATGCAGTTTAAAACCTGTAAAGTAAAATTTAGATTTTAGTTCAGGAAATTTTAGAAAAATATGTATGTTTGATTCAAAGTCATACAATAAAAATATAGTGTATGACAAGATTTTAAGAGTAGGTATATGGTGTTAAGAATTTGCAATATATAATTTTTAAATCTTTGTGTTGTTAGGTAAGGTTTTTCTAGATATAATATTTGTATTTATGAAGTTTTCTTTGAATATTCTGATAATATTTTCTTTTATAATATTAATTTAATTTATTCCCCAGCTATGCAGTTTTTATTAAAACCGCATTATATTATCTATATGTGTCTTTTATTTACTTGTGGTTATCACAGAAGTAAAACTTAAAAGGTCTTACAGTATAAAGAATAAACAAGTATAAATCACATGCATTGGCTGAACACAAAATATAAGTTTGATCTGAAGTATATTTTTTTGTTATAATATCAATGTATTATTTTTTTATTACTATTTACAGTAAAAACTCTAGTTCTTACTACTTATACTTTTGTGTATGGAAAAAAACTGCAGTAAGATTTTGAAAAAAAGTTAAGAAAGCGATCGGTATATTTATTAGCCTCTACTCATATTTTGCTTAACATCCTCATAACATAATAATTATTATCTAAAAAATGTAATTATGATCACTATTGGTTTGTTTATTTATTAATAAGACACAGTTTAACTTAACAAGTTGTATTTATCAAAACACTTTCTGTTACTGAAGATGTAGCCTATAAATAAATATTATCAGCTCCTTGGGACTTTGGAATAAGAGATGCAATATCTCGTATTTCCTACTTTGCCAAACCTTCAACAGTTACTTAATGCATTTATCAAATTATAATGTAGAAACATCTTGTCTGCCCGTGATCACGGTTGCTGTAAAGTAACCGAAGCGTTGGGAGTATGTAGTTTACAATCAAAGATAAAAATCGCGTAGTAAATCCGAAAATATTAGTTTCATTTAAATGTAAAAACATTTTCAAAACATTATCTAATATATTTTCATTCAAACTAAAAGATTTTATAAGTATACATATTTACAGATTGGATTTTTCAGTTCGTATAATATTAAACTTCTCTTGAAACCCATCTAGCGAATACAATTGATGGGTACTGGCGTTATTTTTATACGGCATGTGATAAATGGCTGCGGTTAATAAATACAGACTGCTATGAATGACTACTAAACCTTTGTCCGCTATAGTTAAAAAATAAAAATTCTGCCTCTAAAATTTACGAGCACTTAGCCTTTACAATACGCAAAAAACGCTGTGGTCAGTAAGTGGTGATGGATTATCTCACACATTTTTACATAAAAAATAATGTATGAACGAAATTATTTTGGATTTATTAGATGCTTAGCTTCTGCTTAGTAAGGCAATTTAAATGTAACTCAGAGAACATTATATATTGTATACATTTATTTGAACGGAAACATAAAATAATTCTTTATTTATAACTGAAAAGGAAAATTCGATATAACAAAAGGTAAACCAAAATTACAAAACATGTCACATTCATTGAAAACATTAAATATGAGGATGTGACAAGGGAGCGATTGTTTCCTCATTCGAGAGAAGGACTAAAGAATTCAGGAAATAAGACGTATATAAATATATCGAAAATGTATAATTATACTTTGTATAATAGAGCACGCGCTGAAAATGACTCGATGTTCAAATTTAAAGCACAAATTAAGAATTTAAGTTTATAATGAACTATAAAATTTTCAATATATTCCAATCATGTAGATCATTAATATTATTAAGTCACGGGGTATAAAGTTTGAAATATATATTTTAATTGCAAAAAGTAATTTTCGATAAAATATACTCTAATTAATGTTTACGCTTAAATATTATATGGAATACAATATTACTTGTATTTATTTTTTTACTGAAAATTCTTTTTTATATATTGTAACAAAAAAATTAATATTCATGAGTGAAGGTAGTTATTTTAATTTTGTCCAATTGTCATAATCAATTGACATTTTTTTAAGTGTTAATAGTAGTGCTTCACATTTTGCTTATATGATACCAAAAATACTTTTAGACTGATTGTAAAAGTGTTTCAAATTATAAATTTCCACAACATTAATGGAGATATTTTTACATACCAAAATGGAATAAGGGATTTATCCAATAAATTACATTACGAAATTTATAAATCTTTTTAAGAAGTTGTATTTTTAGCAATAGTTAAATAATAATTCATTTATGTAATTAATAATAATGTATGGGCATTTTTAGTGTTCGACGCATCAGCCAAGTCTCCACAAGGTCTTCTGTTTGGTTCTTCGTACCATCTCGGTAATTTTGATGAATGCGTGGGAATTGACGAGCCAGGAGAAGGTGTGACCGTGGAAGGTCAATATTGCCTGGCTACTATCAAATGGAGACAGTCAGAGGAAACGAAAAAGGTAAAGGTCAAACTTAAAGGTATAAAGATAAAGATAAAAAGGTATAAAGTATATCATTTAATTTTGTTAAAATTGGACAAAAAGAATATTAAATTAAAAAGAACAGAACTATATTAATAAGGGATGTATATTTTTTTACAAAGGTTAGGACTTTTTGCTCATTTTATTGACCGTACAATAATAACAGTATAACCTTAGAGACAAGCATATTTACTTTAAGTGGTAGCATAAAATTATCGATACTCCTTTAAATTAATATAAAACGGTAACTATATAACTGATGAGTAATTCAAGTTTACTGTTGCTTTATTTATAAAGAACTGTTAAGTGGTAACCCACATAAATTATGTACTGATGATCGACACTATTCAAATATTTATTTGCTTTTTGGTTCTTTAGGCTTACGTTTAAACAAAAATGTTTTTCTTATAGCATCAAGTATATCACAGTATATAACACTTGAATGTACTTCAGAATTCGTAATTATTAAGTTAATACTATGTTTACAATAGATTTTAAAGTGTCAATAGCATGCGGATGTTTTTCTAAACTAACAGTAACTAATCCTAGTCATAAATAATTATGAACAGTTGGGTTAATAAAGATAAAAAAATACGGTTCAAAATTATGTCATACTATTGATTTTAATACAAAATTATTCGTATATAAATTATTGTGACTTTATATGGATAAGACATTATACGACAAAATGGATAATAGTATTTTTATACAAAAAAAGTTAAGGAGTAATTATGTCATATCATCTAAACCGGTTTAATATCAAGATAGAAATGTAATAGCTGCTAATTATTGACATAGATCAATAAACTCATATGTCATGATATGTCATTAATGTTCTAGAAACTATAGATGACGTTACAGGAAATATGGAAGGTTGTATCATGACTAAGATAGCGCTGGACTGATACATCATTAGAATAAAGATTTTATAGTATTTAAAGCGTAAACATGTTTATAATGATATGGAAATAACTGTTTTTATAACCGATTAAATAACTAGATACAAGTTTTAGTTCGTAAAGAAAATTAACGAGGAATTAAATATGAGAAAGAGGAGAGTCAATTTATAATAAAAAGATTAGAAGAGGTTGAAAAACGGATAACTTATGCGTAAATATTTTTAGAACATATGTATATGTATCCATACACAAGTTGATGAAGCGGTCATAAATCTGGTATTAAATGAAAATACAAAGGTATATAAAATTCCAAAGGTCAAGAATGTCGAAAGATACATGACAGGAACTAGGTAAAGTGTCATTCCACGGACGGAGTAAAAAGTCTATATTTTTTAATTAACATTAGTCAGTTAGACAAAAAGGTTTTCATAATATTTAAATAATATGTAAAACGTTCAAAACTAAGTTTATTTTTTGGCTGATTAAAAATACGTCTTAACTTTATATATATAGGAGATACAAAGATAAATAAACGTAAACAATTAACAGCAGAATTATTATTCTCACTTTTTTATCGTTTGTTAAAATACATAAAAACTGATTATAAAAGTCTTTACGAAATAAAAGCACTGAAATAAATTTAACGTAATTTGTTTGAAGGTTTATATTAATAACAACCACTTGTCTATTTAAATAACCGGCAATGTATTCGGAACAGGTTTTTAAGTCGCAAATCTTCCGTGGATTATAGAGGATCGACTGGGGATGATTGAATAAAGAGCGGTACTTAATTCATATTGTTCTAAATAAAGCTTAAGGTTTTAAATTTAAGATATGCTAAGTATTAAAAAGGTTTTTTGTTTATTTTATTTAAAGGAATTTATTCTGCATACATTAGCCATGTTTGATTTACTCATTTTCTAATAGCAAGCGGAGATTGTAACGAGTAAAACATTTTATTTTATAAAAGCAAACGTTTAAATTGGACGAGTTGTATTTATAATTCTGTTGCATAATATTTGAACCTTTATATTATGTATATAAATTAATATTTAATGTATCTCCTTTGAGACTACAGTATTTATGTATTTGTGTAGGATATTGGTTGTTAAATAAATAATACAATGTTTACTTTCAATCGACTCAAGACAGAGTTAGTTTATTAAAATATTATTTTATTTTGCATATATTATATCGTCATAGAATTAAACACTTTACAAATGACATTCTTGCTTTGTTTTGAAGTTAATTTTAAATAAAATTAAATGTTAATATTTATGTTACGATACTTTTAAATATCATCAAACCTTTAAAACAATGCCTAGTACGTTAATTACGATATAGTACGATTAAATTCAAAATGAGAGGCTAATACGTAATTAGCTTGTTTTTTAAGGTTTTCTAAACGTTTTGCAAACAGTTCTCAACCATCAAAGTAACTGGGAACAAATAGGTCATGTATTTCCAGAAGCTAGAATCGACCCACACATAATAAGTTGGAGAGACTCAAAGCAAAAGCCTTTGTAGTATTACTTAGCCTGGTCGACTTGGCTTTGAAAAAAGTAAGAAGGAAACGTGTAAGGAAGCTTTAAACTTTCCTACATTGAAATAAAAGGACTTAAATGTGAAATAAAAAAATGAAACCAGCATTTAAATTTTAATAGTATTAGATACGTGGACAACATTTTAATTCTCAACAATTTTTTAATTTAGCATGTCATTATGAGACGACTTTTAATAACTAGGTATCAGTAAAACAAACTGATCCGTAGTTCAAATATATAAAACAACAAATTTGGTAAATTAAATAAAAGTTGTAACAGATGACACCTCAGTGGTCATGTAAATATTGAAGTAAAGAATAAACAATGTTTAATGTATAGTGACAATATTAAGATTAAATAGTTATTTAAGTTTTTGGAATATTAAAAACAGCGGCATATTTTTTCTCATAGTTTTAAGGCGTTGAGTTTGATTTTGAAATCGTGACTAATTTAATCTCTCTTTTTCTAGATAAGAACGGGTCGTGGTGAAACACTTCGTTGGGCCGTATGTGTTCCGAGTGCTTGTGATGCAAAAGCTGTGGCTGGCTTTGTAGGAGATGTGTTGTCTCATACAGTCGGAAATTCAACTGGAGTTGAAGTTACTGAGAGGGATTGTTACACACGAAAACCTATAACTGTTACCAAACTTGATATCGCCTTCCTGTAAGTTTTATATGAAATTTTCCTTCCAATCAATCCCAAAACCGATTCCGTACCCCAAGTATGCTTTCTCTGGAATATTTTTAATATTAATTTTATGAAAACATAAAAAAAAATCCTAAAAGCTGCAGCAATTGTAAATAATGGAAAGCGATTTATTTTTACGGTAAGATTTTTATAGAACTAACCTAAATGGGGAGTTTATGTAAGTGTTTTAATTGCAAGAAAATATAATGGCAGTTAATACAGAATTGTACACTAAAGACAGTAATTTAACAGTTGTTATTAGACTTAATTGGATATGAAGATAACTATTTAGAGGTATACTGAAGCGTCATATGGAAACTGGTGGAGCTCTATAGAAGCACTTATATTTTATTAGGTCGTTCTGTCACTGAACATTAGAAGACAGTCTGTTTAAATGTTTCTTGATATATAAAAACATTAAAGTTTTTAATTTAATTCAGATTTACTTGGAAACGTTATCCTTGTTTATTTTGATAGAGTTGTTTAAAACGGGCTTAGATTAAGTGCATTTGGTACAAATGCTATAACGGTGTAATCCTTTTACAAGTTTTGTTTAATTAAACGGATAGTGGGGAAAGCTCGTTCACGTTTCTATTTATAACAAAATTCAATTAATTCCTTCACCAGTTCACATAACTCGGTTTATACATAAACTCGTATAAAATTAAATAATTTTTCTCTGTTTTACGGATTTATATATTATATTTTCTATATTTTTTTTCAGTGGGATATTATTATTCTTTGGTTTACTATGTTTGTTCACAACGACGTATGAATTATACATTATAAAGTACCCACGGAAGAAAAACAGTCCTGTCCAGGATCTAATAATTGCTTTTTCCTTGATAAACAATCTGAAGAAGATTCTATCAACAAAACAAAATAATAGCTTGGGGCTAGAATGTATTAATGGCATCAAAGCGTTAGCTATGATCTTTATTATAGCGGGGCACGCCTGTCTTTTTATTGGCAGTGGACCCGTAATGGATGCTGAAGCTTGGGACAGAGTATGTTTTTTTTCTTTGTCTTTAACTATTACATAATAAAATATTTTTCTAATATTTGTATCATTTTCAGCTGATCCGAGATCCGATAAATGCCTTCATGTTAAACAACACGCTCCTTGTCGATACATTCTTGTTTCTCAGTGCATTTCTCTTCAGTCGATTGCTCCTTATTGAGTTAGATAAGCGCCGAGGAAGACTTAATGTCCTACCCATATTGATATTTCGGTATATCAGGTATGGAAATAATAACAGTTAATTGATAATGAAAAATATAGTAAATTAATAAAGTATTAAGCATAAATTAACTTTTTTCCAGGGTAACTCCAGCCTACCTCATAATTATACTATTTTATATGACATGGTTACCAAAAATCGGGGAAGGTCCATTATGGGAAGGAAGGTTGCAGTTGGAACAAGAACGTTGTATGGAAGTTTGGTGGGCGAATATACTATATATCAACAATTACATTAGTACCGATAAATTGGTTAGTAGTACATACTTAACACTTATAATTTTACATAATAAATACTATAAAATAATTACATGTTATCGTTCGTTAATATAAAACCGGTTTTAGCTAATTAGGCTTGATAAATAATAATTGCATTGAATTCATCTTTACTTATAAAGTAAATAATACAGTACTACAAGAATATTAAATAGTTATTTTATTTTGTTGGTCTAAAATGAAATAAATTTTAACATTAACAAGTTTAACAACCAAGAACTACTTTCAATATTCTCTTGTTTACAGTGTATGTTCCAGTCATGGTATTTGGCAGTAGACACACAGCTTTTCTTTGTCGCACCCATATTTATCTACAGCCTGTGGCACTGGAGACGATTTGGAGCCATATTTACGTCGGCGGCGACTTTCATATCCCTCGTCATCCCATCTGTCATCACATATAAAGAACGGCTGGATCCCACTTTACTGTTTTATGCAAAGTATGTCAAGAGTTCGCCCTTAAATGTTTTAAGTCCCAGCAATTTGGACTGAGTATTATTACTTAATTGAGATTTAATATGTCGTAATTACTATTTTACAGAGAATTTACGGATTTTGCCACCAATAATTATTTTGTGGGAGCTTATATAAGAACGCACATGAAGATGACACCTTATTTCATGGGAATTATAACAGGGTATTTGTTACATAGAATTCAGTTGGAAAAGTAAGTAAACATTTTCGCAAAGTACCTAAATATCGTTATATATAGATTTTTTATTGTTTTTTTTTATTGCGTGATAAATATACAAGTTAATGTTAATATTAGATTAAAATATGAATGTCTTCTAAACAGATACCAGTTTTCAACTCTTCTAAAAACTCTTGGATGGACTATAAGTTTAATACTCGGTACAGTGACAACGCTCTCTGTCAGTCTTTTCTATCAGGATTGGTATCAGTATAGCGAATTTGAAGCCGCTGCATACATATCACTCCACAAATTCGCATGGAGCATAGCCAATGGTTGGCTCGTTGTTGCCTGCGCATCTGGTAACGGAGGTCAGTTTGGGGAGTTAATTGTAAAATTTTCTACTCCAATAAAGACATTTGCAATATATTTTCAAACCATAAAAGCGCCAATTAAAACGAAAAACCTTTTGAAGGTAATGATTTATGTCAAAATATTATTTCCAGTAAATTGATTACGCACATTGAATATAAATAAAATGCTGGCGAACTGTCACATTTTAGTTATAAATGGGATGAAAGCTTTTATGGTGTAGTTGAAAAAATGCTCGTCAGAAACAGCATTGACGTGAATGATGCTTATAAATAATTTTAAAATGCAATATTGGATTATAGTGATGTTATCATTTTATGCCCAAAATCTATATGATCCAGTTAGTTGTATGTTAGGTACTTTTAAAGAATAATTTTTAAAATAGATAAATATTTTCAAGTTGGAAACAAATTTATTAAGAAATAAACTCGACGTTTATAAGATGCGTAATATTATGTGTGTAAAATAGTTTGACATCTAAATACTCAGACCTCATTTGTATTACAAACATTTCAGGTATACTCGGCAAACTTTTGAATTGGAAGTTCTTGGTGCCTATCGCTAGATTAACATTCTGCGCGTATCTTGTCAATGGTATAGTTGAGTTATACTATGTCGGCCAGTTAAGACACCCTCTTCACATAACATTCTTTACTGTGGTAAGTAAAATAATCCTTTTTAATAATTTAATATTTTAATTTGCAATCTTTATATATATTTATATATATGTATTGAATTCTTGTTCTGGAGTGCGTAAAAATAATTAGTTTCTTAGTGAATTTGTAGATATATAAAACTTTCATTTTATTTCAGGCAGCGAACGCGATATCTCACATAGTGCTCACATTCTTTCTTGCTTTAATACTCTGTATTATATTCGAGTCTCCCTTACATGGAATAGAAAAGATTCTGCTCAGAATGTTTGGTAAGCTTCCAATTCAATTTTGATAAAAACTAATATATTAATGCTTTTATATATAATTTTTTAAATATTCATAAACTACGATTGTTGGCATCGTCGGATGTGTCGAGTTTCTATAAGAATATGATTTCCATTATCTTAAACTGAGGATAAACAAATTTTATGCAAATAATGTTTTATTACAGCTCGTCCCGTATTAAGTGACAATGCCACACAACCCGAATTACGTGAAACATCACGGAATACTAGTCAATCAACATTGGATAATTAAGTGAATAGTCTAACTTTTTAACTTTAATGCTGCAGCTAAAATGTAAATATATATTTAAGACTACATGTTATAAGTGTTGAGTGTGTTAGTGCAATTTTAGGAGCTAAAAAAGAATATTAAAAATGACGTACGGTCTATGGTTAGCAAGCATATGACTTTGTAGACCAATATTGACGAAGATGAAATACCACGAGCGCTTCAAGTACTTGCATTCTGTGCAAATATTTTGAGAGGAAATTACGACTTAGTGAAGGTTCAACTTAACGTTCCTTCTTACTTATTATTATATGTATATCACTCACTGTTTATATATATTTTTATTATATATTCATTTGATTAATATGTGTCATATAAAACCAGTATTTCAAAAAAGTATTTTTATACAGAAGATTACATTTTCAAATTAGTTTTATTTTGCGCAGAATCGTATTGATTTTTTTCATATTGACATTAAAATGTCAAATGAATGACGCAACATTTAAATTCCTCGATAGAAATAATAATTGGTAAAACAAACCAGAAATATAACGATTGTTAACATTTGCAGAGCAAAGCCCGGAGTATATTTATTGTCTATCATATAAAAATCAGGTTTTTGTCTAATTATAACAATAGCTTTTATATACAGCCACATTCGGTCACCCCGGTACTTAAAAATGTATTATGTATGCAACGCTAGTTTTAAGTCTTGTTATTGTATACTTGTCCATTTTTATAGTTGCTCAATTTGTGTATAATGAAATCTTGTGTGTATTGTGTTTTCCATATTTTATAAATAAAATTTTTATAATATTTTATTATTTACTTTAAAAACATTTTATGAGGGTAATCACAAGCTAGCTTTTAAAACTGACTCACTTTTTGGCTACTGCGTTTGTTTTATGATTATTCTAATTTAATTGTTTAGAATTTGCTACTTTTAATTATGATAAAACAGAAAAGTTATCAAGGTAAACTGCTTATTAGCAACTACTATAGTTTAATTGACTATTGTCAACTATACTTCAGGATAAATAATTCTCTTTCTTATTGTCTCCGAAGTAATAAAGTACTGTGCATATTTTATTAGTACTGATACTGTACGATAAGAAATTGGAATACCAAGTCGTTTCGCCTAACCTCAGCTAGCTGGCTGTTCTCGTTAAAATCCATTCCTTACTATATTCTTCATTTCATCTTTACTTAGTGATAGATACACATAAATGAAATAATAAGACGAGATGTAAAAGAGGTGAAAAATTAAAATTAAAGAAAATGGAAATCTTTAAAGGAGTAAGATTTTACGCATATCTATTTTTTAAATCAATTACATAATATTTGTAGTTTTTTTTGCCTGCTCTGACTCACTGAATTGATTGTATGTTGCTATTCACTAATATTTTTAATGCTTGTGAGTATTTCTAGAATTTGAATATCTTAACATAAATGTATATTTATCAGAGGAGCTTAATAAAGGCTAGATATATTACGAGCGATGTAAATCTCCACTGGATGTAATAAAGAGAAAGCATCGAGTAAGCCGGCTTATGCCACGAATATTCTATCTGCATACATTCTGGTATGTAGATAGTTCACCAAAATTGCTTCGATAAGCGTCGGAGGGCAACCGTTTGATACATTATATAAATTAGACTCGGAAAGTTAAAGTTTATTCACTTCACTTTATTTTATATGGCCAGATCATCATTCGGGCCAGATCTTTCAATATAATTTTTATATATAAATGACAATGTTATTAGCAGATGACTTTTAGCTTTTAGTATTATAAAAAGTTCATAAGAATATGCCTCACTTAATATAGCGAGAAGGTTATAGCAGACGAAGCGTATAACTTAACTGTCGTAATTGAAAACTGTCCAAGTCGGCCGCAACTGGAGAACTACGGAAGTCGGCTTGCTTAAGGCATATATTGGTTTTGACTGCACATGTTCACTATGACGATATAATTGTGCGGGAAGTTAATCAAAACTTAAACTTACAGTTAGCACTCCTAATGATACGAAGATGGGCTTAAAATTTTGAACAAGGTAAGTCGTTAAAGAGATGTTTGAATAGAACAACTAGTTTTAATAAATTTACGATGAAAGCAGAGTAATATAATACTTGTGTATATTTGAATGCATTGTTTCTGTAATCTCCGACAAGACTGAAATAGCTTTACGTAAGCGTTGGAACTCATTCAAATCTAGATAAGTTTGTGAGGTCTAATCCGTAAAAACAAGGGTTGATTCTGAAATATTATTATTACTTCTAACTTCGTCTATTCTGTACTATGTTCGCGTTGTGTTAGCTATGCGTAACACGCCTATATAAACACGTATTAGTTTACAGACGTTTCTTGTCGTTTGGTCAAAATATCCTTGGAACAAAGGGGTCATGTGGAGCTATAAGTAAGCGAGAACAAACAATGCTATGTAAACAATCCGGGATGACGGAATAATAAATCACTCTTTATATTTTCTTATGTGATTTCCTTGTTATGTTCTTGTGCTACAACAGTTTTAGTATGAAATAACTAGTGATATTTTATGTACATTTTAATTTATATTTTGTGAATTATATTAATCGTAATGTGTTTTTTTATTGGCCTTCAATTAGTGGTTACGGAGTTAGACGTTAGAACCCCGCAAAGCCAACTGTCGTTTCAAGCTGATAGCGGTTACTTCAGTTGTAGTCGGATTAAAACAATCCCTTATTAGTTTATCTTATCGTTAATGATAAAGACTATAATATACGTACAATTTGAAACATTCGGATAACTTTAACTAAATATGTTGTTCTATCAATAGAAATTTCATATTTGTGTTAATTTTATTTCATCTCTAATACTGTTTCTATGCAATTTTAAATATAAAACGTAAGAGGTAGTATCTACGGTTCAAGATAAAATTTGCGTAGGTTACGTAGTGGAAAACTGAAAAATAATATGCCTATATTTTCATTGAAGCGAAACATCCACGAAATGCATACTCTGGGAAACAGCTAACAATAATAATTCCTATGGAAAGGCTTGGAAAACTTATTTCAGTTTCAAAAAAATATAAAATTTGAATCACAATAAATAGTTTGAGTGATATAACGATACTATTCGAGAATTCACTGTAATAATGTATGTATGTAAGTAAGTTTTGATTATAAAATCTGAGTAACAGTTTGTAACAAAAATATATGTTTAAAATTTGTTAAAGTTGTCAAAACATTTGCTTTAATTTTAAAAGAATACAATGAGCATAAACTATGAATTGAGGAAAGGAAATTATTAAAAAATATAAAATGAAAAAATATATATACTTTTAGAAAAACTTGAAGTATTATGTAATAGTTACGATTTGCTATGTATTAAATAAATTAAACATATAATTTAAAAATCCATATATTCATTCATGTAACGCCATCTTGAATAATTTATTTCGAAATTAATTGACTCTATCTAAAGTTTCTAGCAACAAAGTGTACAAACAAACGTCAGTGTTGTTTACGTAAACACTTCACAACGGAACAAACGTAATTGTGAGCGGTATACGGAACATGTACAATAAGGTAAACTAAGATTAAATTAATGGATAGCGAATAAGCGACCCTGTTTGATGCGAGGCAGATTGAATTTGAGTTAGTTTTATGAATTTGAAATTAATATTCAATACCACTGTATAAAATAACTAGTGTTCAACGTTTTAGTATCGTTCTCATTAATATATAATTATTATTTTTCAAAATAGCAAATATTTCTGGTATTTTTTCATCGAATTAACTGTTTAACATCTCCATTTAAATAAAAAGCTTTATACTTTTCGTCATATATTTATGCATAGATTTGAATTGCGTATGAAGTTGGTAGAAAAATGTTTTAGAGAAAAACGTTCCTGATTATATTAACAAGCTGTTATGAAATTTTGGTTCATAACATGATTAGGTAACATGGCTGCAAAAATTATTCTCATCTTGACTCAATTTCAGCGAGACGAGAGAGGAAGCTTTTTTACCCTTTTAGGGACGGTGTGACACCTGTACTGCTTGAATTATGTAAATATTTTAATTTAGGTTCATAACCTGTTCATGTTTTGATATAAGATTTTTTTTGTGTAACATTGAAAGGCAGGTTCAACCTTTGATCTTAATTTAGCTAGATGTATTATTATTATATCATAGAAATGGAAATTTGTATTAAGTTTTGGTTTGATACGCTTATACAACATTTTATTTTTAAGAGAAGCTTCGCGATAAATGAAGTTTTATTTCACTTCATCCATCCAATTACTCAAAAGAAGCAAGCAAACACTCACTTAATTTAATGAAACTAAAATGTTTTTTAAAATAAAAAAGTAAATATCAGTCAATCCCTCTGTCTTACGAGATTAAAACTTTACTAACTTCTTAGGATAATTTGTGGTGGAAAATAAATTTTCCTACAGTTTTTACTTTACGCTGATAAAAAGTAACTTTTGTCGAAATAAAATATAATAAGAGTAATAATTTTATGACAGTACACAACTAACATTTAAGAAACGCATTAAAACCTTGTTTTGTTGTGTAATTGGTAAAAATTTAAGTTAAAAAGAATTTTTACTTTTGTATTTGTATTTATTTTACTAAGGCAAATTTCAAGTCACCCTTATTGCAAGCTGTCCCTATCAGAAAACATCGTGAAAGTTTCAAATTTTCATTAATAAATTTTGAGCACTTTTAATATTAACCTAGGCTTAAGAATGCAAAAATGAAAGCACTTGTAGTTTGACGTTGCAAACTTGTGATAAGGATACTGCTTGTAAGAAATCAGTCTAATAAACAATTGAAATATATATACCTAATTGTATGTAGATATGTGGGGAAACCGGAGGTTTCAGCAAAACTACGAAACTTACTTATAATATGTATATTATAATGAGAATTCTGATCTATTGCTTGTGTGGAATCAAGCATCTTCTGGTTCACACGGCTTGGTTTTCGTTCCTCGGAGTCAGCAGCGTAACTACATATTTGTATGATATTTTATCCATACA